GTGAAATTCTATAGCTTGCATTATAAAGCTCAGACCAGGTATTGTAATGGTTTCTTAAAATGTGTGACTTAACATGGAAGTGGTAAAGTGTCCTCCAGAATAAATCACTGTTACAGTATCATTACAAGAAGTACTGAGCTGGAACACATGTTAAAATAATTTTTTTAGACAATAAGAAATAATACTAAAATCATGCTTATGCATTTGGGTAGAAAGAGGAGCAGAAATGGAAAGAAATTTTGTAGCAAAGTCTTCAGCTCTCAGTCCTTGACTAAATCATAGAGATGGAAGAAACCTTGAGAGGTTATCACATCCAGCGAGAAATCTGAAACAGCAATTGCTCCAAAATGTAAACCCACACAGACAGAACAGAGGAGGTGAAGGAAAGACTGTTACACAGCAAAGGAACTTAGAGCATAAAATAATGAAACACAACAACATCTGTCCTTGCAGTTAGGTCTCACAAAAGAGAATAAATATGAGGCATTAAACGTTAACACTAAAAATTCCCTACAAGTCAGAGTGACTGAAGAGACAACGAACACCTGGATATTTTTCTAGTCATTTTGGTGACAAAAAAAAATTAATCGCTAATATCGAACATGTTCACAGAACTCCACATAGACATACAGTCGCTGAACTACTCTTGAAGAAGCTGACTGTGCAAACAGCTTCATTGAGAACTTGTTTTAGAACAGGTGGCTACTTTTTGTATGTTTTTGGGGGGGGAGGCAAGTCGGGCTTTCCTGTGTATAATACAAGCAGTCCAAACTGCTTATGGTGCAACTGCCTGCACTTAGATGACTAGCCTGATGTTTTTTCTAGTCAGTATGTAACCCACACATCTTCTGGGTGTGGTGTACTTTCCCATTTAGTGGCACTTACACCACTTACACAGAGAAAGAATGAGTGTGCTCTACAGCCTTACCTGAGAGCCGGCTAGCTTTTAGTTCAGGTGACATGGTTCCAGGTTCAGTCCTATCTATCAGCGTTACAATTGCACAAGAACTGTTGCTGCAAATTCCTGCATACACTGCTACCATTCCAAGCCATAATCCGAGACAAAAGTTTCCAAAAGTGTGAAGAGCTGTTCCCCTATAGCACACTCTGGCAATCACCAACGAAACAGAAACTCCTCTTGGAGTTTTTTGTCATTTTCAAATTTTATGTGTGTCAGCCTCTGAGTAGCACCTGATACATTTGTTATTTCATTAAGTTGAATGGGGGGGAGAAAAGGACTTCACTTGATTTTAGCAATCACTTGTTCAGTGTCGTCATTTGCCATATTTGCCTGGCAATAGTGTCGTTAGACAGGGGAATCAAATCAAGTTGAATCACTGCACCTTGCCCCAACATAATCAAAACCATTTTCTTGGCACGTGGCAAAAAAACCTTTTCTCCAATAGTGTGTGGTTTCCCAGTTTTAGTTATCCAATGTGACACATCAAAAGATGCCTCAAGGGTTTTCTCATTTGTGGAAGCTGCTGTTCTCAGTACTGTTTTCTGGCCCTGTAGCGCACTCAGTTTTTGCTTAAAAAAAAAAATCAAGTGGTTTTGTTTGAAGAGAACTGTGCCATATCTGCAAGTGCCATAACATTTTAGAAGGTCGTAAGCTATCCTTTGCCGGAACTTCAGTATACACCAGACACTGTGGTCGTGGGTACTTCTCAAAACCAGTCCATGTAAATCCATATTCCAAATGTTTCACATCATATTTGTGGTATCTTGGTTTTTTACTGCTGTTAGAATCCTTTCTGTCAATACTTCTTTGGCTGTGAGTGGCAATCAGCTCCCCACTTTTCTCCAATTTTCTTCAGAAAACGATCCTTTGCTAAATGTGTATCTGCAGTAAATTTTCAAACTGGCTTCAACTGCAACATGCTCAATCAGTTCCTAGATAATCGTTTCAGAGTTCTGAGAGGCATATGCCTGAGAAAAGAAGTGGTGAACAGGGCCAGCATTACAGGGTGGCAAGCAAGGCAATTGCCCAGTGCCTCACACTATAGGGGATCCCTTGAAGCTAAGTTACTCAAGCTTTGGGTTCAGCCCTGCATGGGCGGCTAAGCACCAGCTTCAACTTTCTGCCCTGGGCCCTGGCAAATCTAACACCATCCCTGGCAACCTCCTTAAAATGAGCTCATGACCCACTCTTTGTGAACTGCTGATCCAAACTATTTTTAAAAGCCTCGAAAGCCTGAGAATTCACACCTCCTGAGGCAATTTGCTCCAATGCTTAAGTCCCTTGATAGGAAGTGTTTCCTAACGTATAGTCCTAACCTCCCATGCTGCAAATCAAACCCGTCAATTCTTATCCTAGCCACTGAGGTTAACAAGAACAATTTTCCACCCTTCTCCTTGTAAAAACTTTTTATGTGCTTGGAAACTGTTGTCATGTACCCTCTCAGCCTTCTCTCCAGACTAAACAAGCCCATTTTATTAAATCTTTCACTGTCGGTCATGTTTGCTTAGACCTTTAATCTTTTTTGTTACTGTCCATTGAACTTTTTCCAATTTGTCCACATCTTTCCTGAAATGTAGCTTCTGAAATGGAAACATTATTCCAGTTGAGGCCTTATCAGTGCAAAGTAAAGTGGAAGACTTACTTCTTGCATCTTACTGAGAATACCACTGCTAATCCATCTCAGAATTATGTTCGCTTTTTTTTCCTGCAACAGTGTTTTAATGTTGATTTATTTTTAGCTTGTGATTCACTATGCTTCCTAGAGCTGTGTCTACACTCACATGTTTTGTAACCAAAAATTGCCATTTGGTGACAAAACAGAGTGTTCACACTTCACTGCAACTTTTGTCAGGGAAAACATCCCGTTTCAGTGACAAAACACTTTCACCTTTGCGAGAGACTTTTCTTTTCTTTTCCCCTCCCTTTATTGTAAAATGCCAGTATGGATTCTGCTGTTTGTTTTGTCAAGAAAACTGGCTTCTGCCAGTATCCCACAATGCCAGCCCTGATAGCTGTGCTTACTGTTTTGTGATCTCTGCTGCCCTGCAACCATGCTCTCCTCCCCTTTCAAAGCTCCAGGAAGTGTCTGACAGCTGAGCAAGGGGAACAAACAAAAAACAAATAATTGGAGTGCTCCTGTTCTGCCCTGCTAGGAACACAGCAGCGGGCAGACTGCATGGAAAGCTCACAGAGCTATGTGGGAATGCCAAGATGCTCAGGAAGCAACTTTGCCTTCCCATAACACTGAACTGTGGGATGCTTACCCATGTTGCTTTGCTCTGTCTGTTGTCAAGGTGCTAGCAACATGGCCATGAAATGCCAACAATGGGAGGCAGAAAAACCGATTTGACCAGTTTTTCACTTTTGGCAACATTTGCATATCGACTGCACTTTTGTCACCAAACCTTCATAGTGTTCCCAGAGCCTAGATCCTTCATTGGACTACTTCTTCCTAGGAGTCATTTCCCATTTTATACGTGTGCAATTAACTGTTCCTTCCTAAGTGGATTACTTTGCATTTGTCCTTATTGAATTTCATCCTATAGATTGCACCTCTCTTGTCTGGGACTCTCTGGTCTGGCAACATGTGTGGTCCAGCAGGCCCATGGATGTTGCTGGACCAGAGAGCACCTGGACCAGAGAACCCCAGCAATTGTGTGTCCAGAGACCTGGAGAGGAGCCAGGGCTGGCAGCGCAGCCTGCCCAGAGGTTTAGAGCTTGGCATTCGGAGCCAGCCCAGCCCTGGCGGGGGTGTGGAGCCTAGTGTCTGGATCCAGGGCCAGACCAGCAGTGCAGTCCCAATGGGGGCAGTGGCCCAGGGGCAGGGATCCTGGCAACCAGAGCTGGCGAGCAGAAGGGAAGCCAAAATGGCGTCCAGACCAGCAGTGGAGCCGGATGGAAGCATGGTGCCCAGAGGGGAGCCCGACCGGGTCTGCTGCTGATGCCAATGGCGTGCGAATTAGCCACCCCAAGAGTGACACTGAGGGTATGTCTACATTACCCTCCTAGTTTGAACTAGCGGGGTAATGTAGGCATACCGCACTTGCAAATGAAGCCCGGGATTTGACTTCATTTGCATAAACTGGGTGCCACCATTTTTAAATCCCTGCTCGTTCGAACCCCGTGCCGCGCGGCTACATGCGGCACGAACTAGGTAGTTCGGACTAGGCTTCCTAGTCCGAACTACCGTTACTCCTCATTCCACGAGGAGTAACGGTAGTTCGGACTAGGAAGCCTAGTCCGAACTACCTAGTTCGTGCCGCGTGTAGCCGCGCGGCACGGGGTTCGAACGAGCAGGGATTTAAAAATGGCGGCGCCCAGTTTATGCAAATGAAGCCCGGGAAATTCAAATCCCGGGCTTCATTTGCAAGTGCGGTATGCCTACATTACCCTCCTAGTTCAAACTAGGAGGGTAGTGTAGACATACCCTGACTGAAGCGCTGGTGTGGACAGTGCTATGTCAATGTGAAAGCTTTTCCCAACAACATACCAACATACTCATTGGAGATGTATTAATTAAGTTGACGGGAGACCTCTCTCCTGTCAGCTTAGAACTGCTGTACTAGAGAAGTTACAGTGGCACAGCTGCATTGGTGCAACTGCACTTCTGTAAGCTCTCTAATGTAGCCATAGCCTCAGTTAGACAAGATGCTAAGCCTCTACACAAGTACGTGTTTAACATGAAGCACACAGTGGGCCTACTCACTGACTTAAATGTGTATTTCCCTGAGTCAGTGTCAGAGTATATAGCTCCTTGCAAGCTTGAGCCCTAAGTGCTGTTCTGCATAAGGAACAAATATAAGCAAACTTCTGGAATCAAAATTCTTGCTCTTACCATTGTCAAATTTTACCCATGAGAAATTAACCCCACCCGTGTTATTTTTCTGCACTTTAATTCTGTTAAAACCATAATTAATTTCTGAGTGAACTTCAGAATGATTGATGCCTGCAAGAATTTTGTGAATGGCATTTAGTTTGCAGTATGTGGTTCTTGTTTGAATAAAATGCATTATTTAAAAATCTACCTGTTGTTTTGCAGAGAGCAGAAAGACAAACACGAATGATGGACTCAGCCCAGTATGCAGAATTTTGTGAAAGTCGCCAGTTAAGCTTTTGTAAGTACTGTTATATAACACCTGTATAGTATAGAGGTGTGTAGTTATTTTATGTACACTGTAGAACCTTCCATTTATTTATTGAATATGTATTTATTTAATCTGCGAAAGAGTGTGTTAGGTTCTCTGACCTCATAACTGCTAAGTGATGCTAATTTATTCTGCTGTATTGAGATCAGGCAGACTATTTTATTTATTTTTATATTTTACAGATTTCATATAAGAAAAATACTGTGGTGCTGAGTGCTAATATAACATAAACGCACACATACATAAAATTTCAATCGGCTTATGTGTTAAAACAACCGTGTCTGTTTACAGCTTACGTCAGCATTATTACACACAGCTGATTAATGAAGTGTACCCTCCAGGTTGTGATTACTCCTGAAGGCATCTAAAATGATCTAATGGTAGCAAATTTTCCTTTTTATTTCTGCATCCATAGACATACAAAGAACATAGTAAAGAGTCTTTTTTCTATTTTAAGCCATAGTCTTCTGCTGTGGACTTTATTCAGCATTAGCCAAATTCATCAGAGCACGCAATTCCAAGACAAATAATATGATGACAGTATTAGGGCTTTACTAACGCTGAAGACAAGCTTACTAGTAGTCATATGGGCTGCAGCTATAATGGGTTATAAATTAATGGGTTTGATCATGTAGCAAAATATCATTACAGAAGCAGTTATGTGATGATTAAGGCTTTAGGTTAAAGGTCAGAGAGAAAGTGAGGTGAAAGAGCCAGTAAAGCATGACAAAATAGCACATGACCCTCACAATACAAAATTGAACACAATGGTGTCTTTAAATGAGAGATGTGTATCTTGTTCTTTATAACCAGGCATTTGAATTGGGTACATGAGTGATTCATTTATGTATCATAAAGTACAAATCCATGACACATCCAAAAGAGCACTCTGTGTAAATGTCAGCAAATGTAGGAAAACATATTTTTAAGCATTTATTCTTTTTCTTATTCAGTATGCTTTGAAAGCTGAGCTGTGATTGAGCATCACACATCTGTGAGCCATTAGGTAAATGGTCCTTCAGACTGGATTATTTCATCCAATGAGGGGTTAGTGATAATGCCATTTTTAAACCTAAAAATTATAATCAGAACTCAGCACAAAATAGAAGTCTTCAGTTTACAAAATAACATTGAATGCTGATGAACTGAAGATCATAGTTATTTTTTAAATGATCTGATGGATACTATTTCTACATTTTTGAATAACCATAGCCTCATTTCCCCCTCACAATTAATATCAATCAAGTTGTTAGTTGATATCAATGGGGTTTTACTGATGCAATACCAGTGAAAAGAAGCATATTCACGATTTTACCTAGCATAAAGCAAACCAGATAATATACAGGCAGTCCCCAGGTTACGTACAAGATAGGGACTGTAGGTTTGTTCTTAAGTTGAATTTGTATGTAAGTCGGAACTGGTACATATTGTAGGGGAAACTCTAGCCAAACATTTCTCCAGAGCTCAGTTTTATTCTCCCATACCTCACTTCCCTCAGTCCTTTATTCTCAAGCTGAGGTGTCTGCTGAGAAAAGCCGCTCCACGTCTCCCTGGTCTGCTGGGAGGGGCGCTAGCTTCGCGTCTCTCTGGTCTGCTGGGGGGAAGCAGCTAGTGCAGGGTTGCCTCACCCCGTTTGTAAGTAGGGATCCGTTGTAAGTCGGATCCATGTAACCCGGGGACTGCCTGTAGTTAAGATGCTAAATGGCACATGGCCTTTTATTATAAATTAAGACAAATTACTTTTTCTTTGATTCCCTTAGTTGTAGTAGAAATTGAATTTAAAATTTGCAGTGTTTTTAAAATAGACCCATATTACTGCAAGGTATGTTAAACGACTGTTTTTCTGAAAAAACTCTGTAGTGTAGACATGGCCTGAGACTAGTCGCACCAAAGGCACTGAGGACTTCTTCCTCGCTACGTTTTTTTTTTTTACTTTCTCTGGCCATTGATCTACATAAGACCATAACAATGGCTATACTGGGTCAGATCAAAGGTCCATCTACCCTATTAACCTGTCTTCCAACAGTAGCCAATGCCAGGTGTTCCTGCGGGAATGAACACTCTCGATTGATCACTCTCTCCTTAACAGCATTTTATCTTTCCTTTGTCCTTTCCTGATTCTCCTCTTAATTTTCCTGCCATTCCTTCAGTGTCACTTTTGGCCTTCCCACCTCCTCCCTACTTTGAGCAAGCCCCACACAGCACTCTGCCTTTGCCCATCTCTTCTTTTTTTCTTTGCCTTTCCTGAAGTATGTTAAGAGAGAGTGAGATCATACAGAGATTTCCGTGTTGATGATTTATAGATCTACACAGCTGTCCCTTGTATTTCCCTCTGCCTATGAGCACATTTCAGACATATCCAGCGAATCATACTGAATACCTTGTCGTCATCTAAAACCTTAACATAGTTAAAACTCAGCTCCTTAATTTTCCTTCTAAATCACTTCCACCTTTCTTCATTGCTGTCAAAAACACTGTTATCCTTCTCACTCAGATTGCAGACTCAGTCCTCTTGGATTCCTATATTTATTGCCATTCATCCAATGGGTGACACAAGTCTATTTTTTAGTTTTCTCATAATATATAGTAAATCCAGTCTTTCCTTTCTGTCCCAACTGCAATCTCCTGCATTGATTCCTGCATCTTTTTTTTCTCTCTCTCCTTCATGATGGTCAAAGCCATCCCTTATAGGCTACCCAAAATGCTGCCTGTGAAATTATCCTCTTTTCCCATTAATCTGACTCAATCCTTGTTTGAATCTTTCCACTGGCTAGTTCTTGTCTTTCACATCAAGTTCAATTTTAGGGTTTGACTTTCAGATGTAGAATTAAGCAAATAAGAATGTAAATCTATTGCTAACCTTAACTTCTGTCCATCTGTTCATTGTTTTGGACTGATAGCCAAGAAAGCTTCCAAGTTTCGTGATTGGTTGGACTGCAGCAGCATGGAAATAAAACCAAATGCAGTTGCCATGGAGATTTTGGCATATTTAGCATATGAGACTGTGGCACAGGTAAGGGAATGAGCTGTACCTGTTGTGATACAGCAGAAGAAACATAACTAGTAATCTTAAACATCTTTCAAGTAGTCTCAGCAAATACTTCACACTGTATTAATGTTTCTTAAACATGTGTTTGACCTTTTAAGGGACTGTTTCCTGTTTTCTTTCTAACTTTCATGGAATCTGCTGTATCTGAACTTTTGTACTGTACCATGCTTATTGCTCTGGTGTGTAAGTGGCGCTTTTGGCTAATGGTTATAGCAAAAGATTAGCAGCCACTAGGCCACTGAAACCACTCACATGAGTTCTGGCAATTCACTTGGCAAGTCATCCCAATTGTAAATAAAAGAATTTTTGGAAGCTAAGAGACAAGTCTTTTTACCTATACAAATTACTCAATACATTTGTAAAACGTAATGAGACAGTGGTTCTGCGAGTGCTGATCCCAATGTGTATTCCACATGTGCCAAAGTCCAGAGGTCCTTTGGCCTACCTATGTGCCATTGCCCTCTAAGCATGAGCTTGGAAGCAGAGTCCCACACAGGTCTATTTCTGAGAGAAGAGATCTCTCCCCAACCCCATCAGTGTTGGGCAAACCTTCACTCACACATCCCCCTGGCTCCGAATTGCTTAAGGCACCAGGCAGGCAGGAGAGTGAAACACAGGAGAAGGAGGATCTGTCAGTTCTGTTGATTGCTCTGACTCATAAACGTAAAGACCAGCAACCATTGGCTCCATCTAAGAATGCTGCACCTGATCTATGACTGTCCTGGCCCACCCTTCTTAGTGTCAACCACTTGAAACAGACATCAGAATTATAATAATAGAATCATAGGTCTGGAAGAGACCTCAGGAGATCATCAAGTCCAGCCCCCTTCCCAAAGCAGGACTAACCCTAATTAAATCAACCCAGCCGGGCTTTGTCAAGTGGAGACCTAAAAACATCTAAGGATGGAGATTCTGCCACCTACCTAGGTAATCCATTCCAGTCCTTCACCACCCTCCTAGTGAAATAGTTTTTCCTAATCATCAGTCCTGACTTCCTGTACATCCTGAACCGTGGAATATGTGGACACTGACAAACATCCCTCAAAAAATAGAGGGAAGACAATCCAGCACCCTATCCCACAGCATGCAGCAGCTGGGAACTGTGGCCCAACCCTGTGAGCTATGGGGGGGGCCTCTGCTGGGGAGGTGTGTGGGGGTCCCTCAATTTGTGGTAGTTAAGAGTTGTGGGCTGAGGGGCCCTGTGGGCTGCGGAAGCTGTCACTTGAGGGGACATCCCGCTTCTTGCTGCAGCTGGCCGAGGAACTCAGATTATAAAGATTCAGCTAGGAGCTTCTTCCAAGCTAAATGGAGATGCTTCTATACCTGGCCACAGCACAATTAGTCTTGGTCAGACTCTGCATCTATTCCAGGCATTTTAAATTATCTCCTGTCACTTAAGAACTTGAGTCTTTTCCTTAGCTCTTTGTAGGTCCATCTTGCAGAGATCAGTGCATTCCTTCCTCCTTACATGGGCATTCCATTTTTATTCACCCAACAGTAATTAGATTCCTGATGAGCCTAGTTAGGACTTTGTACCAGTACCCCTTTGAGGAAGACTCAGGAAAGTTGACAACAACAAACGTAAGATTTATTCCATTCACTCTTTCGAAGAGTTTACATTCATTCTTTCCCTTTTCTCTTTCTTGTGTCTCCTCTTTTTCTCCCTGTGTAACTACCCCAGAACAAATTTACAAGCACAAACTGGTGTTGCTGTCGAATACTAGCTAAGTGCAACCAGAGCATTTCCATCAGGGGCTAATCCAACACCTCAATGGGATCTCAGTCTCATCATATATATAGTAGCCCAATGTCTGAGAGTCTGTAACGCTGAAATGCTGGCTGCTCCCTCTGGAGGGCGCTGTTGCCTGAAATGCTGGTTGTTCCCTCTAGGCGGCCCTTGCTCCATGGGGAGTGCGGGGCCCAAATGGCCGCTTGCGCCACTTGTTCCCCCCGCGGCGGCCCGGCTGAGCGGTGCAGAAATCAGCCAAGAGCCATGGCAGGAGCTGAAGGGGGCAGGGCAGTGATGGGCAGTGTGACAGCGGCTCCCGGCCCCGCCCCCGGCCGTGAACATTACCACGCCCC